TGCTTTATTAAAAGAAGAGGAGATGAACTATGTATATGACTTTCTACTTTGTTTTTAATCATAAGACCAGTATAACTAAAATACTATAGATGAATAGAGCAGGGCCCCCATTAATCAGCTACCAGAAGTATGTAAATGGACAGTTTAGTTAAATTGAGTGACAGTTCGGCCATTAAATGATATGGGCAAAGCATTTCCTTGCAGCACCTGTCCCAAACTTAAAAAATGTGTAATTAACACAGTAACTGTCCTTTAGCAGCTTTATCTGGCACTGTAGTAGTACCTCTCTCAGTTTCTTCTTTGCTATGTCGTGCTTTCCTTGGTATACGCCCATTGGGGTTTTAATAATGGTTTTTTTTCTAAAATAAATGATCATGTGTATAATTTTTTTTTTTAGTCAAACTGCCCGAAGTTTTTAGGATCCTCCTTTGTTCAGACTAATAATACTCTCTGTAGAAGCATGAGATCTTACTAATTGTAGGTACTGTGATAGGGAAACTCCCTTCCCCACTTCCTTCTGCCATCTGTCTCTGAAAAATTATAGCTATTAGAACTTGAGTCATTTTACTTGGAGAACAGCTTGTTGAACTTCCCTCAGTTTAGTAAATACCACTGCAGTTCTTATCAACACTATCTTTTAGCTTTGCGTTCCCACCTTGTCGTTACACTAGTCCATAAAACACCAGCACGGTGAATGTTTGTCCTTTCCTTTTTGGCTGCCCAGCAGACAAACTCTGTATCTCAATCAGGGGACTTGTCTACTTTACGGTGTTTTGTGGGAAGCAGTGTCACTGACCACATGCTCCCCTTCCGCTCCCGACCCTTGCATATCTGAACACCCCGACCAAATAGGGAAAATGAGCACGCTTCTCAAGTTTTCTTATCCCAGATTGGGGGATACACAGGAGAGGTGGGAAATGGAGTGGTTTAGCTGTGTGTATGGAGGTAGTAGTAGCCCTAACTTACTGCTCTGAACTCAGGCACCTCATTGGCAACCACATTCTGAATTTTGATTTGAGATCGAATCCCTTGCATAGGTTATTGGCAGTGATTAAAAAAATTTAGAGGGGCGTTCGTTTCATTAAAGTTGAGAAAGAGAGAGTTTATGATCTAGCTGAATGCTTTTGTGCCTTCCCAAACTGACTGCCACAGCTGTCCTTAGTGCCTTACTGTGTAGATTTCTGTGCTAGGAGACTTTGCTTTCTCTTAACTTAACCATCACCGCAGGGGCACTCTAGTTATGGTGGGACTCCAGCATGCCAGCCCTTCACCATAGTCTCTTTTTAGTCAAAAGAGCACTCCCCTACTTTTCTTTATGGTCACTTTACATCTTGTAGCCACTATTGGAGTCTTTGTTCTTTATGAGGTCAAGACTTTGATAATCAAAACTAACCTGAGAGTTAACGGTTTTCTTTAGTATTTGTTGAAATCAACTGGCTTTAATAATTTAGGCCAATTAGTGGCATTGGCATATTTAAAACGTAAGTTTATAGAGTATTCATGATTTACTTGTTAGTTTCTGACTTGTTTTTCCTGATTTTTTTATTTATCAGAGTCATGTTTGTGTATTGTGGAAAAATCTTGTAAGTACAGGGAAGTATTAAAAAAAACTGTGTAGGGTCCCCACATTAATCGACAGATTCAGCATAATCCCTATCAAAATTCTCACTGCCTTTTTTGCAGAAATCAACAGTGTAATTCTAAAATTTACTTGGAAATGCAAGGGACTCAGAACAGTCAAAACGATCTTGAAAAGAACAAAGATGGTAGACTTTTAACTCTCAATTTTAAAACTTTTTAAAAGATTTTATTTATTTGAGAGAGAGTGCAAGAGAGAACAGGAGTGGGGGGTGGGCAGAGGGAGAGGGAGAAGCAGACTCCCCACTGAGCAGGGAGACCGATGTGGGACTTGATCCTGGGACTTCAGGATCATGACCTGAGCCAAAGGCAGATGCTTAACTGACTGAGCCACCCAGGTGCCCAGGTCATTTGATTTTTGACAAAGGTATCAAGACAATTTAATGGGGAAAGAGAAGCCTTTTCAACAAATGGTTTTGTAACAACTTGATATCCACGTGCAGAATGAATTTGAATCTCTCTCTCATACCAAAATTAACTAAAATAGATCAGATGTAAATGTAAGACCTACAACTAAAACCCTTAGAGGAATTCATAAGTGTAAATCTTCATGACCTTGGATTAGTCAGTGGTTCCCTAGATACTATATGACACCCAAAGTACAAGCAACCAAAGAAAAAAATCGGTAAGTTGGATTTCATTACAGAAAAAAAATGATAAATTTGGCTTCATCATAATTAAAAACATTTGTACTTCAAATAACATTATCAAGACAGTGAAAAAACAACCCAGAGTAGAAGGAAGTATTTGGAAATCATATATCTAATAAAGGTCTAGTATCAAGAATAATAAAGAACTCTTACAACTCAATAAAAAGACGATGTGATTTAAAAAATGGACAAAGGAATTTCTCCAAAGAAGATATATAAGTGGCCAATAAACATGTGAAAAGATGCTCAACATCTTTAATCACGAGGGAAATGCAAATAAAAGCCACAGTGCTACACCCACTAGGATGACTGTCATAGGAAAGGTGGACAATGAAAAGTCTTGGTGAGGATGTAGAGAATTTGGAGCCTCATACAGCTCCAAATGTGGGGATGTGAAGTGGCGCAGCTGCTTTGGAAAACAGTTTAGCAGTTTCACAAATGGTTAAGCATAAAGTTTCCACCTCATCCAGCAGTTGTACTCCTATATACCCAGGAGAAATGAAAATATGTCTACAAAAACTTGTACACAGATGGTCATTGCAGCCAAAAAGCAGACACTGTTTTATACCAACCCCAAAGTAGAAGCTACCCGAATGGCCATTCACTGTTGAATGGTTAAACCAGATGTGATGTATTGGTGCAACGGAATATTATTCCGTGATAAAAAGGGAATGAAGTGATCCCTGTAACAACATGGATGATGAACCTTGAAAGTATAGGTCAGTGGAAGAAGCCAGACCCAAGACTACATATAGTGATTTCATTGATGTAAAATGCTCAGAATGGACAAATCCGTAGAGACAGATTGATTACTGGTTGCCGGGCGGGGGGGGGGGGGGGGTGGAATGGGGATGGATATGGGGTTTCTTTTGGGGTTGATGCAAGTGTTCTGGGCTTTGATCATGTTGATGGTTTCCTGGCCTTGTGAATACACTAAAAAACACTGAATTGTATACTTTAAAAGCAAAGTTTCTGCAATGTGAATTGTATCTCAATTAAAAGAAAATTAACAAAATAGAAGCCACCTCAGATCCCACTGCCCAGGGACCCCCACAGCTTACAAATGCTTACTCAGTGCCAGGCACCCCAGCCCTGTAGAGCCCTTCTCATTTAGTTCCCACAGTAGCTTTCTGATTCTTCTCTCAGAACTGGGGCTCCTGACTCCCCCAGAGTTCTTTCTGCTAATTCACTGTGCCCACTTTTACAGAGAATTGTGGGTGAAGACGGGAGTGTGCTAATTTGGAATATTATGAAAATACTATTTTATGAAGTTAAGTGCATTACTCACACTTTTGGTTGACCAAAGTACATTTGTGGCTTAGTTCAGTTAGCATTCAGCACTCAAGCTTCAGGGAAAGCAAACCCTTGAGAAATAGGGTTAAACCCCTGAAGTTAGTCTTTTAACACCAAGGAGCTTATGTTGATTTTTTTTCTTTTTTTGCTTCAGAGACTGCAAGAAAGAAACAAGTAGAATTAGAAACTTCCTTAAGTGGTCATTCATGTTGATCGGGTATAATGCTGGGGTAGAAAAGCTGCTTGGATTTTGTTTTCATAAACTGCTACTCATCAGAACATGCTATGGTCCATTGCTTTTCTACTGAACTAGAGAGTTTAGAGCAGAAGGCATCAGTAAAGCACACTAGCCTGGAAAACTTTGTTATTGTGGTTACTTTTGTTTGTTTTAACATGCGCTTAACATTTCAGAGCAACTAGTCATGGGTTCAGAGGTTTTATCCTGTGTACTCATTTTATTGATCCTTATTCGTGGGCGTCTAAAATGTAGTGAACTTCAAACTCCTTGCAAAAAACAAAACATGGTTAGTAATTTTTATTCTTAAGGAGAGTTCAGACTTTTTAATGACTTTGACATGAAAATATACCATATTTTTAAAAATCTTGAACTTCAGATAGTAGTGGTCTGGCTTTGTTCTTTCATCATGTAATTAAAGAAAATGTATTAATTTTCTTTAAAAATGTCTTATTTCTGGAAACTATGAATAGCTTCACTCTGACAGAAGTTTTCAGTGAAGTGCAGTTGACCCCTGCCATTTAATGGTTTCACATTGCAATCAGAGGAGAACTGCTTTTAGTAAGTATTAGCATTGAGACATGACTGTCCCAAGGACATGCAAAGTATCTTCTTTTTTCCCCAGTGAAGTGCTCTCAGAAATTTGATTTTAATATAATAAACACTTTGACTTACATATCATAATGTCATCATAATTTTAATGTAGATAAACCACGCTTGGATTCTAAATTCCATGAAGGCAGAAACTTTTTGCCTTCCTTGTATAATGCCAGAGTTTATTCTTGTGCCTGTCCATAGTAAATGATTAATAAGTGTTTGTTATATAAATATATATTTATAATCACATATATATTGATACTATACATACTGTTTTGTAATATACCCCCGACACATACACAATTAACTAGCATGTCCTCCATTGATAATATTGTGTGTAATAGTTTTTCCTCATGTTTCTCCCTTTTTAGGTTGGTATTTTGTATGGCACCTTTTTTTATCGAAATTCAAGTTTCTGCGGGAACTGGTGGGAGACACAGGATCTCAAGAGGGAGATCATGAGCCGTCAGGCTCTGAGACCGAAGAAGACACTTCATCATCTTCATACAGGATCAGATCTGCTCGGCAAAGGAGGGCACCTACTGAAGAAGGCCACTGACCCTAGCCCTAGTCCCATACTAGTGAATGACGAAAGGCAGTGGGGAGCCTCTGTCTTTAATGACCTGGCTTTGCAGTTTGCTAAAAGATCGAAGAACATTTTTACTTGGATGTTAAGTCCAATTAAAAGAAAAAGATTTATATGTAAGCCATATGAAAATAAAGGGAATTAAAACCAAATCAGACCATTGCAGATTTCATCTTAAAGATAATCTTTTGCTTCACTAGCTTTCTACTTACATACTTAACTCTCTGGCTCCCGGGCTTATTTTCTTGCACTGGTGTGAATCTGGTAAACATGACAGGCTTGAGAAAATCGTATTTTATTAATTCTGTAATGTATGTTGTATTTTTGTTTTTGTTTTCACATTTTACCTTGTCCAAAATTGGGATGTGTCTCATGATTACTGTGATGAACCAGGAGAGGGTCGTGATGTAATTATCCCAGCCTGTGCGGGTGGGAACTTATTAATGGCTTGTCACAGCATTGTCACCGTATTGTTGGTACCAAATGTGTCAGGTGTAATTGGCATTTAAAGATGTCTTCAAAAAGATTGCACTATGATTCAGCATTGAAACGAAAAGTGATTGTGTACGCAGAAAAGCATGGAAACAGGGCAGCGGGGCGAACGTTCGGGATTAGTGAAGCAAATATCCGGCGCTGGAGGAGTGACCGCCATTCCATATTTTCTTGTAAAGCAACAACAAAGTGCTTTACGGGGCCTAAGAAAGGAAGATATCCACAGGTGGATGAAGCTGTACTACGTTTTGTTAGCGAGATGCATGCGAAAGCATTGCCCGTGACGCGCCAAGCAATGCGATCGAAGGCAGGAGAAATCGCCAAAACCCTGGGAATAGAAGAAACAAAATTCAAAGCGACCAGAGGCTGGTGTGACCGGTTCATGCGCCGAGCAGGGTTATCTCTAAGGTGGCAGACCTCATTTTGCTCAGAACTTTCGGCTGACATTAAGCAGAAGATGGTGGTGGAGCACTCTTTCAAGAAACACCGTATCCCCAGTGCGCTTGATGACCCCACGGGTGCTCTTACGTGGATGAAAGCAGACAGCCATGGCTGTGATTTGAGAAGTGATTCAGAAGAGCTGGACTCAGAATATGAGGTGATAGTTATAACCTAACCAGTTAACTTCATACACTTTCTTTTGGGTATGCACAAGATTGATGTGTTAAACATCTGCTTTACTCTAAAAAACCGTTTCAATAAATACAAACATCCTACGCGGTATGAAAGCATTGTGTCAGTTTAATGCCTGTGTTTTTTCTTAGTTATATATATGGTGCATCTTACAACTGATAGTATCTTAGATAAAAAATAGTTTGTAAATTTATTTTCCCTTGTAAGGTAGCAATTATTTATTGGGGTACTTAATCCTCTCTCTTATAATGCTGTTAAAATAGTTATCCTCGGGATGCCTGGGTGGCTCAGTTGTTAAGTGTCTGCCTTCGGCTCAGGTCATGATCCCAGGGTCCTGGAATCGAGTCCCACATCGGGCTCCCTGCTCAGCGGGGAGCCTGCTTCTCCCTCTGCCTGCTGCTCTCCCTGCTTGTGCTCTGTCTCTCTCTCTGACAAATAAATAAAATCTTTTAAAAAAAATAAAATAGTTATCCTCTATGAGATACATTTTTTTTTTTTTTTTTTGCAACATATTCAAGATTTTAGAGTAGTGACTTAGCCTAAGAAGTTCTATTTCAGAAGAGCAGGATTAGTCTCTCCCTTTGTATGGGAGGGCTTCACACTCAAGGCATGTGCTGTGGAGAAAGTACTTCTTCCCAGACAATTCAGTGACAAGACCTCAGAGGTCCTGGGTACCGAGGATAAAACAGAGTGAGTGAAAATGCCCGCTTCACTGGAAAATAACTTGCCAGGTACCCATGTTTGTCTTCACTGAACTTTGGACTGAGTGTTCACCAGGGAAGAGATATGGATTCAAAGACCCTTCCTGTTTGGTGTTACCCACTCTGTACAAGAGTGAATTGCAAAGCCAATTTCTTTTATGAATCCCAAGTTCCTTTTTTTTGTGTTTACCCTTTTTTCTCAAAAACTAGTTATCCCAGGATATCACCTCTATGTTATGACGGTATGTAACTATGATACCTCATACTCCGTGCTGATGGTTTTGTCAACAGTCCACTTGCATTCCTGAGGTATGCCTAGTCCTTTGGATATACCGAAAGGGAATTTACAGAGCATGTGCTTAGTTTTAACCAGCAGCTGAGAGTGGGGCATAATCTTTCATTTCCATACTGGATGCATTTTTCTGTGATTCTTTGCCTATAGGGATTAACAGAACAGTGACATAAGTTTCAAGCATTCATTTTAGTGCTTCATACTAGCTGGTTATCAAATTAAAACAGTCGTCAGAAAAATTAATGCCTAAAACCTTGGTACTGGGAGGATATTTAATTAGATCTTTCATAGTCTAAAACTTTGAGCTGTGGATTCTGCTTTATAGGGAATACCTTAGGTTTAGGTAATAATAGTTGTTGAAAAACCTTAAATAACCAGTGAGCTTCTATACTGTTTGAGTATTAAGGAGTGATGGCTCCTGTAACCTCACACAGCCTGCAGGGGACATCCACAATACAACAAAGAATCCATGGAAAGGTGTATGTGTTGGTATTATTTATTAACATTTATGCTTCAAGGATGTCTTTTTTAGTAGAATTTAAGGAAATGTTCTATTTATTTGGGAAATATATCCAAAAGCATGTTAATCGCTTACACCCTACCATGTTTTAATCCTCGGAGAGTAAAAAGAAATCACTGGTGCCAATATAAAAATTCTACAAACTAATTCCTTTGTTTAAAACTTGTATTTTTCTCTTGGACACCCCCCCCCGCCCCCAGTTAACACTCAACATAGTACATATTTCGAAGGCCACTAAGAAAGGCAAGAAGAATATTAACACAGAATTGTGTGGTATATGTTTCTGTTCCTTTGCCTATTTTAGTGCTTTTGTAGCTGCACTCAGAATTTCCCAAGTACCTTTTCAGTTTCTCAGAGACTGACTCGCCTGTGGTTAATTTTGAAGTTTAGAAGGTGCTGAACATTTAAGAGCACATACAAGTATTTGTCTTGTCTGAATGCTCACCAACAGTGATGGCGATTAACTATGCCATCTTTTGAGGATAAATTCTAAAATCGAGGACTTTAGCAGGGTTGTTGATTTCCTTACCAATTTACCATTCCCGCATCTCTTTGCCTCTGAAACTTTTGTGAAAATTGCCTGTATCAAACGTACTGGTTTGCATTGCTCTGATTTAAATGCCAAAAAACCCCGCTAAATATTAGTGTGGCACTGTTAAGTGAGGTTTTTAATATATTCGTTAAGCTAAAAGTAGAATTCATCCAATGGATTTTGTAGTGTTGTTTTCATGGTGGAAACATTAAATACATTGTTTTTGGTGAATAGCTAATTCACATATGTGCTGACCCATTTCTTTAGATGATACTAGGTTTAAAAACCACTTCCAGTTGTTACTTTGCTGAAAGGTGGGAATATATTTGCCGAGAGGTGGGTGAACCATATTAATGATTTCACAAAATGTTATTTTAAACCAAAATGTGTTGAAAGATTTGAAAGTGGTGCATTTTTATTTTTAGGAGCAACCTATTTTGAAATTATTTTAAGTCAACAATGCAGTATTTTTTAAAGTCTGTCTTTCTTACAAGGTATGTTTTAATGTAACATGTAGCCAGTGTAACTTTAGATTTTTGACTGGTAAACTTCAAGTGCTTTTATATTTGAAGTTGACTTTAAAAAGCCAATGAGCAGTACTCAAAGGTTATAGACTTTCAAGCAACTAATGGAATAGTATTTTGTTACTGAGTCTAGAATTAAAGCAACTTGTATGGTCTGCTTTTAAAGTATCCTATAGCTTTTAAAGCATAAAGGATAACATTTATCTTAAATTAATAAAAGTTACATTTTCCATTTGTTAATGTGAGCTATCTTATGACCAGAGTTTAACATTACCCTCTAGGTTAGTTCTGTGCATAACCATTCACCAAATACTGCTGCTGTGGTTTCTTAATGGAAACATTCTGTGCTGTGCTGTGATGCATTGTCATCCTGCTGCTTGACAAATAGGTTTATAAGGAATTAGACTTGTGTGCGGTAATAGTACCTTTATATAACAAAATGTAAATTTAGACTTAAGGAATGTGTGTAAATGATCATTCACTGTTTTTGTTTTAAAACTGGTCAATACTATACCTAAAGCTTCTGTGGTTTGTGTGATGTTTTAACTTTCACTTTAAACTGCAAAGAATAAATTAAAATGAAAACAAAACTTTGGTATGTGTCATTGATGACGTATAGTAAGTATGAAAGGTACCTGGGGCATGAGGGGAATTGAAAGCAGTCATTTTTACCAGTGGTCCACCCTTCACCACACTTTTCAAACTCTAAGGATCTATAAGAAGACAGCAGTAGTATTCCTAGTGCCATAAAAATAATTGACTTAGAACCCAAAGGACATACAGCATTGGAGCTAAATTGCTTTGACCATGTGTGGCCTTTGGTTTTCTTCTCATACTTTATCCAACACCCTTGAGATTGTTCTGATACTCTGTTTACCATCGTCATGTCTCACATTTTTGTTAGTAGTAACCATCCGGAAGACTAAGTGATGACACTGACCAAAGCCAAGTGAAAAGATTGAGGAATGCCTTTGAAAACCAGTTTGAGATGGGAAATCATTAATTGCAGTGGCTAGGAGCCAAGTTTTTCATTTTTCTCCGGCAGTGCTCAGCTGCCAATAATGTAGAGTGGGGAAAAGTGGATCGTGCCAGGATCAGGCTTCGGATGGTAGGAGTGTCTAAGGGCTAAAGGGCAAGGCCGTTAGAGATTGCTGGAGATTGGCTGTGGATTTGGGCTGGGCTATAAGAGAAGTCTGATCAGTAAGACACTGATAAATTGGGTGAATAGGAAGGGGTAGAGATTGAAGATAAAATGAGGTGACAGTGTATAATGGATAGAAGGAAGTTTGGGGTGGAGATTAGAATTTTAGAGGTGAAGCAGTTCTGAGTGGTGTCACTAAATACAGCCATAGAAAAGGAATCAGAACTGGGGACTCATTCTGGGGTATATGTGGACTATCAATATGATCACTAATGCATGATGGTTGGAGTTGGGATGGAGAAGAGGACCATGCACTGGGGATTAGTTCAGAGACTTGGGAGACTGATCTCGAGGTCTGGGATGTTAGATGGCCCTTAAAAGGAGGAAGGGGTTTCCTGAAAATGAAAGAGGAATGATTTTGGAGAGCTGTGAGAATGCTTTCTCTTCCTTCTGCCCCCCCGCCCCCCCCGGCAGCTCTACAGTCTACAGCCCAGTATGAGATTGTTATGTGCAAGTGAGTACCTCAGTTACAAAAATGATGCTGTTTATGGAGAATGTTGGGGGAACGGGGAGGAGAATGGAGGGAGAGAAAGCAAAAGCTCTAAAAATCTTGGAGGAGTTGGAGTTTTCCAGGTAGAAGAGAAGAGGATTCCAGACAAGAAAAACATGTGCGAAGTCAGAGTTACGGGAAGATGCTTTGGAGAATGGTAGATGGTTGGTTATTCCTGGAATAGAGAGTAGTTCTAGGGCATAGTGGTTTGAAACTGGAGGAGTAGGAAAGATCTAAGTCACAAGAGACCTTGTATGCGATGGCAAGGGCTTTGAAGTGCTTGCATTGTGTTGGAAAACATTGAAATACCTTGAGTTGAGCGAGAGCATGGATTCACTTGTTTAACATATATTGAGTGACTACTCCCGCAGGCACCTGGACTAAGTACACATGACCCTGAAAGCTCATGCTCCCTGGATCAAGGAGGATTGCTTTGGAGGCACAGTGGGAACAGGATGTATCTTACTGTAGTCTAATTAAGAAAATAGAAAGTGGGAAAGAGTGACAACCGTGGGAAATGTGAAAATAGGAAGAATCAGCAGGACCTGAGATTGGATTGTGAAGGACAAGTATAGGATTTCAACCTTTGAGTTTAGTTTGAAATTGGTCACACTGAGGGATGCATATGGAAGAAGTAGGTCTGTGGTCAGCCACAGGGAGTTGGGGGATGAGAGTCCAGTCACGGGTATACATATTTGAGTTGGATGTGCTTATGGGGCATTAGGTGGACAGAAATACCAGTTGTAAAAGTGGTCTGAGGGGCAGCGTTGAAAATATGGACTGTGATCATCTGTATGTGAATGCAGTTGAA